TAAAGAGCGGAAGAAATAACTCAATCCTTTCCTTCCATCCATCTCTGTGTTGCCTGGGCTTCAAACTCCACGCCCCACCCGGCGAGGATTTTAAACTTAAGTTCAAAAGTGGCGTTGCAAGATGCCTTCAAAATGCCCTACACAAAAAGTGAAGAATGGAAGCACGCAGCATCCCGGCTTGGGGGCAATTTTTTTTTTTTTAAATGCTCCTTGCTTTTCAACTCTCCAAATCCTTAAAAAAAAAGGAAAATAAAGGGTCTTAAGCTCCTGCTTTACAAACTTTTCTTTTGTTGTTATCCGGAAAAGGAAAACATGACTTTGGGTTTCGTTTTGTTTATTTTGCAACTGAAGAAGCGAAGTCAAAGAGGGAGATTTAGCCTCATGGCCTCCTGCAGTGCTTTTGAAAATATAGAAATAAGCCTTATCAACCAGGGGTCCCCAACCTCCGGGGGCCACAGCACACTATCGGACTGTGGCCCGTTCAGAACCAGGCCGTGGAAGCGGCAGGTTAGCCCAAGCGCAGCTCCACTTGTGCGCACGGCTCCGTTTGCGCGAGCGGAGGGCGCACGTGCCCGGCACTCATGCGAATGGTGCTGCACGTGTGTGAGCATGCTCACCTGCAACTTGTGCAGAACTATCCTCTTCCCGCCGGTCCACAAAAGTTGAAAGGTTGCAGACTTCTGTTATTGATGAGTGCTTCTCAACAAGGTGGCTGGAGAATTCTGGGAGTTGAAGTCCACCCATCTTAAAGTGGTCCAGGTTTAAGAAAAGATGCTTTTGGGGTTCCTGATTCTCAGATCTGCCAAACGGGGTCCTTGCTGGGATCTCTTTAAAGTGCAGGCAGTCCTCAGCTTACACCACTTCATTTAGTGCCCGTTCAAAGATACAACGGCGTTGAAAAATGTGATTTATGACCGGGTTTCAAAGTCACAACCTTTGCAGCGTCCCTACAATCAGGTGATCAAAATTCAGATGCTTAGCGACTGACTCATGTTTACGACGGTCGCAGCATCCCAGGGGGGGTCACCTGATCCCCTTCTGCGACCTTTGGACAAGCCAAGTCAATGGGGCAAGCCGGATTCGCTTAACAACCGGGTTACTGACTTATCAACTGCAGCGATTTGCTTAAGGACGGAGGCAAAAAAAGGCTGTAAAACGGGGCAAAACTCCCTTAACCAATGTCTCACTTAACAACAGAAATTTGGGCTCGATTGTGGCCATAACTATTGAGCCCTCTGGAAAAAATTTCGAGACAGAAGGAGAGAGAACTGGTCTTGTGTTTCTGAACAGGGTGTGTGTGTGTGTGTGTGTGTGTGTGTGTGTGTGTAGGAATTTTAGCAAAGGCAGAGGGGGAAGAGATAATTTTGGAAAAAGTAAAACGCACAGATTCTTTGCCAGCTGGAATTCTCCATGCGGGGGGGGGGGGATCACTTCGTTTTGCCAGTTGCTTCACAGGTTTTTTTTCTTCTTCTAGGGAGTGAGAAAAAACAGATTTTACTTTAGGTTTTTTTTTTGTTTTTTCTTTCCATCAATGCACGGCTTAGATTTCCCTCTGTTGTGTTTTCCCCTTACTAACGCTCCTTCTCTTTTCTTCCCGTTTCTCTGTCCCTGCTCCCCGCCTTCCCAATGTCTCTTTTTTTAGGTTAGGACAGAAAAACCTTTATTTTCTTCCAATCCTGAGCTGGATAATTTGGTAAGGACGCTACTTGTTTCCTTTAAAAAAATAAACAACAAAAAACAAAAACACAAAACGAAGAGGGGACCCCCAAAGTATTGTTCTGTGTCAAACTTTGTTTTCATTCTCGCTTCGTTTCTCTTTCCCTTGTAATGACCCCCCTCTTTCATTTCTCTGTCTACTGAATCAGTCACTCCTCTTTATATATAGGTCCCTGCACAGGATTTATCACTTTGGGTCCAGTAGTTGGCAACGGCCAAGTGGGAATCAAATCTGAACAAAAAACTTTTAAGTCAGATTCTGTCTTTTAGTCCTTCATGTCCTACAGAAGTCTGTCCTTTGGGGTGGGGGGAAAGATTGCAGCCTACCTCGTTGGGTTGTTGTGCTCTGGAATAGTTCCCCTTGAAACTGGGTTCCTTTGCTCTACCCAACCTCGTGCTTTTCAGGCTGGCTGGCTGACTATTCTGAGGCTTTCCAGTTTAGAGAAGACGTCAGACTTTGAAGACTTTAGAGAAGAACATCTAAGATGATTAAAGATCTGGAGAGAGAAATATATATATATGAAGAACAGTTGCAGGAATTGGGTATGGCCAATTTAGACAAGAGAAGAACTAGGGGGGACATGAGAGCAGCATTTGAGGGGCTGCCACAAAGAAGAGGGAGCCAATCTATTCCCCAAAGCATTTGAGGGTAGGACAGGAAGCAATGGATGGAAACTAATCAAGAAGAGAAGCAACCTGGAACCAAGGAGAAATTTCCTAACAGGGAGGACAATTAATCAGTGGAACAACCTGCCTCCAGAAGTTGTGGGTGCTCCATCACTAGAAGTTTTCAAGAAAAGATTGGACAACCATTTGTCTGAAATGGTCTAGGCAACCTTGGCTCTTTTATGACTGGTGGACTTCAACTCCCAGAATTCCTGAGCCAGCCGTGCTGAGGGGAAAGGGAGAGGTTTCCATGCTGAGCCATGCTGGCTCAGGAATTCTGGGAGTTGAAATCCACGAGTCATAAAAGAGCCAAGATCGCCTAGCCCTGGTCTAGGGTCTCCTAATTGAGCAGGGGGTTGGACTAGAAGACCTCCAAGGTCCCTTCCAGTTTTATTCTGACAAGGGACAAAAAAATAATATATCAAGTGTTGGGGGAATTTAGGCGAGAGAGAGGAATCATTTCTGCCTTTGTAGACATTTTAAGCTTCCCTGTCCAAGCCATGATTTGGACCAAGATTTCTCTTCGAGGGACGACTTCCGTTGTGAATTTATCCGGGTTAAAAACCTTAAAATCTATGGTATGGCCTAGCCCTATATGTTCAAAATAATAATAAAAAAACCATTATGTCCTGCAAAATGCATTGCAATAAACAAACATACCTTTACACGGTAAGCCCCAATCAATTTTTTTCCCCTCCCTTTTCTAATTATAGATGATCCAGGCTATCCAAGTGCTGAGATTTCATCTCCTGGAGTTAGAAAAGGTAAGGGGTGTTATTTCCAAAGTTTGGTTCTCGAGTCCCCCTCCTCTCCTCCCCTTGCGTTCTCCCCACTAACCTCCAAAAAAATAAAATGAACACGAGACTAGCAATTTTGCCAAACAAAGCAGGAAATCCTTTTTTATGCGGCTTTTTTTTAAAAAAATAATAATAATTTTTGAGTCGGTTTTTGGCTGGTGACTACTGCCTCAACAAATCCCTGCAGTTTTTTTGGGGGGGGGGGGAAATTTCAGGACTGCTTTGCCATTGCTTGTTTCCTAGGGCCGAGAGAGACTGGCTGGCCCAAGGTCACCCAGCTGGCTTTGTGCCTAAAGGTGGGCGTACAAGGCAGAACATCCCAGTCTGTGTTCTTTTCTTTTGTTCTTATTTTATTTATATCCGGCCCGTATTATTTGGACGTGGAACTCAAGGCAAGCAGACGTACCAAATGAGGTTTGCTATTAAGCAGCAGAGCTTGCAAGCGTATATACGATTATCTCTGTGGAAACGCATTTACGTTTCTACAAATATATGAAAAACTGGATTTTTCAGCCCACACAGGTGTTCGTGTTCTGCCAACGGCCTCATTTTGAAACACATTTGCATTTTTAAGTTTTCATGCATTGGCAGGGTTGGTCTGATTCTGTTGCCTAAGAGCTGGAGAGAGTTTTCTATCCAAGCAACAGCCAAACCTCTGCAAAGATTATTTAGCATCCATACTTCTCCTTTAAAACTTCAAATGTGTCTGCCTTGACCCTCAAGAGGACTGGGACCTTTGCTTTTTCCTTTCCACAAAACCTAAGCAAGCAGACCTCAGATGTGCTAACGGTATCTATCAACGCCTCATCTCCACGCATTTTTCCATGTTTCCATAAAACAGTCCCCACCACTTATGTCCTGGAAAAAAATTGTTTTGGGGATGTCCCTTGGAACAACGATTTTACCGAGGAATGGAGAAACTTTGTTATCTCCAATGATGGAATTTAAAAGAAAACAAAAACCAAATTCTGCTCCAGCAACAAACCAAATTTTTTGCAAATAGTTCCCTTTTTCTCACTCCCAATAGCAGCTGGCTCCAATTGGGAGGCTCTCCTCCTATGGAAGCGACACAGAGAGAAGGTTTAAAAATACATTTTGAATCCAGAGGGTTCTGGCGTTAGACTCTGGGGGTACCCAGTGGAAAGGCTGCCCCCCCCAAATGCTTCTGTGCTTTGCTGAAGACACAGGCTTAGACTTGATACTACTTAGGCTTTAAAGCAGCCCAACCTTGGCAATTTTAAGAGCTGGGGAATTCTGGGATTTGAAATCCACACTTCTTGAAATTGCCATGGTTGAAAAACACTGCTTTAAGAAGACTTTAAGGAGAAGTTATAGCATTTCCTTCTTTCTGCAATTTATATTCCAATCAGTTCTGAAAAAGATGTTATCTTCTTCCCTTCCCCTTCTTCCTTTCCTTTCCCTTCCCTTCTCCTTCTTTCTTCTTCTCCTGTCCCTTCTCCTTCTCCTTCTCTTTCTCCTTCTTTCTCTTTTTCCTTCTCCTTCCCCTTCTCCTTTTTTCTCTTTCTCTTTCTCCTTCTTTCTTCTTCTCCTTCCCCTTTCCTTTCCTTCTTTCCTTCCCTTTTCTTTCCCTTCCCTTCTCCTTCTTTCTTTTTCCTTCTCCTTCCCTTCCTTCTTTCCTTCCCTTTCCCTTCCCTTCTCCTTCTTTCTCCTTCTCCTGTCCCTTCTCCTTCTCCTCTTTCTCCTTCTTTCTCTTGTTCCTTCTCCTTCCCTTTTCCTTTCTCTTCTCCTTTTTTCTCTTTCTCTTTCTCCTTCTTTCTTTTTCTCCTTCCCCTTTCCTTTCCTTCTTTCCTTTCCTTTCCCTTCTCCTTTCTTTTTCCTTCTCTTTCTCCTTCCCCTTTCCTTTCCTTTCCCTTCTCCTTCTCCTTCTTTCTCTTTCTCCTTCTCCTTCTTTCTTCTTCTCCTTCCCCTTTACTTTCCCTTCTCCTTCTCCTTCCCTCTTTTTTCTCTTTTTCTCTTTTTTCTTTCTTTCTTTCCCTCTCCCTCCCCTTCCAGGTTCACGACCTCTGCGACAACTTCTGCCACCGCTACATCACCTGCCTCAAAGGCAAGATGCCCATCGACTTGGTGATCGATGACCGAGACGGAGGGTCCAAGTCCGACCTGGAAGACTTCGGGGCTGCTTGTCTCTCTGACCAGGTGGGTCCAAAGTTGGGCAGCCTTTTGGCCCGGACAGCCAAGGTGGGCAACGGCGCCATTTGCCCTTGGCCAGCAAACTGGCCGGAGCTGGGGGCAGAAGCGGCGGGCGGGCACTGATAGCCCCCTTAGAGGCAGAAATTGCAGACCCCTAGTCATCTCCCTCCTGGGCTGGGGTGCTTTGGGGGCCGTGATCCCCCCCCAAGTGCGAATGGCTGGGTCAGATGGCAGCTTCCCCCCCATCTTTGAAGGGGGGGGACTGTGGGAGACCTCCGGCTTCCCCGCCTCTTTCTTCTTTTGACAGCCACGCCACATGTGGAAGCCTTTATCTGCCTGTGCAGATGTGCCGGTTTTGGCAGGAATCGGATTTCTTTCACAAAGGCTTTTTTTTGGGGGGGGGGGCAAGAAGTTTGTGTGTTCTCGTATTGTTGGGCCGTTCAAAGGGAAGCGATGTGGCAGCAATTGCACAATGACTCTTCTCTGCAATGTCACGTTTGCCATTATCTTTTTTTTTTTTTTTTTTTTTTTTTTTTTTTTTTTTTTGCTCCGTGGAAACTCAGGCTTGGATGAGTTGCCTGTTGGGGTCATTTTCTCCACACTGCCTACCAGTTGCTGCAGAGTCCTCTGAAAAAGGGCGGAAAAAGGAATAAAGGTCCCCACTTTATTCCTTCCCTTTATTCTTATTTGTTATTCGGTAATTTATGTTTTCTTTGCTTCCTTGCTTCTTTCTTTCTTTTTTTCTTTCTCTTTCTTTCTTTCCTTCCTTCCTTCTTCTCTTTCTCCCCACTCTTTCTCCCTCCCTCCCTCCCTTCCTCCCTTCCTCCCTTTCTTTCTTTCTTTCTTTCTTTCCTTCCTTCTTTCCTTCCTTCCTTCTTTCTCCCCCACTTTCTCCCTTCCTCCCTTTCTTTCTTTCCTTCATTCCTTCCTTCTTTTCTCCCCACTCTTTCTCCCTTCCTCCTTTCTTTCTTTCTTTCTTTCTTTCTTTCTTTCTTTCTTTCTTTCTCTTTCTTTCTTCTTTCTTTCTTTCCTTCCTTCCTTTCTCCCTCCCTTTCTCTTTCTCTCTCTCTCTCTTTTTTTCTTTCTTTCTGTATTTCCTTCCTCTCTCCTCTCTCGGTCTCTTCTTTCCTTTTTCCTTTCCTTTCCTTCCTTCCTTCCTTCCTTCCTTCCTTCCTTCCTTCCTTCCTTCCTTCCTTCCTCCCTCCCTCCCTTCCTCCCTCCCTCCCTCCCTTCCGTCTCCTTTTTTCTCTTTCTCCTTCTCCTTCTCCACCACCTCCATCCTTGCAACATTCATAAGTTGCAAAGAAAGGGGTCAGGGTCTTGGAAATTAATCACCCCTGACAGTGAGCTGGTGATGAAGGAGACGGGGTTGGCCAGCGTGTTATCTCCCACCCCTCAATCCTCCCGTCCCCACCACAGGCTTCTCTCTCTCTCTCTCTCTCTCTCTCTCTCTCTCTCTCTCTCTCTCTCTCTCTCTCTCTCTCTCTCCTCCAAGCACGCTAATGCAGCACCGTTTTCTTCGCTGCAAGCGCCTTGCCTGAATTTTTAATGCCCCCGCAGGCTATGGGGCTTGTTGTCGGAAGATTTGAGGGGCAGAGGGGCTTTTTTTATGGGGGGGGAGAAACACAGGAGAGGAGGGGAAAGGTGGAGAAGAAAAGGCCTTTCCTAAATAGGTTGGACAGCTGATCTCCAAGATGAGCACCCGAACATGGGAACAAACAGCCGGCCTCTGAAACAAACCGGCTGCATAAAGCCTTGCTTAAAAGCCTCTTTAGGCAGCCTTGCTATTGCAGATAGACCTCACCAGGTGACTTGGAGTTCTAGTTCCGCCTTAGGCACGAAAGCCGGCTAGGTGACTCTGCGCCAATCACTAGGAGGTGATGAATTCTAGTCCGAGTTTAGGCGTAAAATCTGGCCGGAAGACTTTGGGCCAATGACCAGGAGACTGGGAGTTCTAGTTCCCCCTGAGGCACGGAAACCAGATGGGTGACTTTGGGCCAGTCACCAGGAGACTGGGAGTTCTAGTCCTGCCTTAGGCACGAAAGCCGGCTGGGTGACTCTGTGCCAATCACTAGGAGGTGTGAATTCTAGTCCGAGCTTAGGTGTAAAATCTGGCCAGAAGATGTGGGCCAACGACCAGGAGACTGGGAGTTCTAGTCCCCCATGAGGCACGGAAACCAGACGGGTGTCTTTGGGGCTGGCTAGCCCAATTCACCTCACAGGGTTTTTGTTGGGTGGAAAATAGGATTTGTAAAAAAATTATTTGTAAAAAATATTATTTGTAAAAATAATAAAGGCCGGATACCAATAAACCAGCAATTCCACTCCCAGTTCACTTTCCACCCCCCCACACACACCGCCACCCACCCCTGTCCATTGTCGGTTATCCATCCATCCCAGATCCAAAGAATTTCCCCCCTGCTCCATTGCTAGGGAGAGCAATTCCGGGAAGGGGACCCCTTTCCTCTCCCCAGGACCCCTCCCCACCAGACGTTGCTGCTTGAGATCCCAAGCCTGTGCAGCAATGAAACCCCCTCCCCTGCCTTGGAAAAAACCCCTTCCCACCTCAAAACCCCTCTCGCGGTGTGGGTCCGCCGTGGGATGTTTGGATGGGGCGGGGGTCTCGGATTGCCCAGGGCCCAGCCTCGTCTGGGGGGGGGGGACGGCTCTGCGATCCAGGCCCAGGCCCTGCAGGCGAAGTGGCCAGGTCTGGTCCTCATTAACTGGGAGTGTTGCTCCCTTCGCTTCCCAGAGCTCCTAACAGCGACCCCCTGACCCTCCCCGAGTAGCCCCCCTTCCCCTTGACTGTGGGCTGCAAGTGCCGAATCCCCCTCCTCTAAAGCCGCAGCTCCTTAACCCCCTGAACCCTCCGCCCCGTCTTTGCAGGACTCCTGTGATCAGCGGCGGCGGGTTAATCAGGCAGGGCAGCGGGGCTGGGGGCGCGATCCCCCCACCCGCCCGCCCGCCTGGCCAGTGGGGAGGGGGCTGCAACCCGAGCCCCTTCGGTAGCTGCCTGGTTCCTCCCCAGAGGAGCCCGGAGAGGCCCCGCTTGTACCCCTTTGAACTCGGTTCAGTGGGTCGAAGGGAGGAGGGGGGCAGGATAATGACAGACCGAAGCTGCAGGGGGCTACAGCAGTGGGGGGGGGGAGAAGGAGGAAGGGGTTGCCATTTTAAAAAAAAAATAAAAATAAATCAGGGCAGTTTCCTGCGCCTTCCACCGCTTGGCGGTAGGCAGCGATCCAACAGGTGAAGCTGTAGCCTCACCTAGGAAGACCGGTTGCAGGAATTGGGTAGGGCTGTTTAATGAAGTATTAAAGGGGCTGCCAGTAGTTGAGGGGCTGCCCCCAAAGAAGAGGGAGTCAAGCTATTCCCCCAAAGCGCCTGAAGGCAGGACAAGAAGCAACGGATGGAAACTGATCAAGGAGAGAAGCAACCTGGAACTAAGGAGAAACTTCCTGACAGTGAGAACAATTAACCAGTGGAACCACCTGCCTCCAGAAGCGGTGAATGCTCCAACACTGGAGGGTTTTAAGAAAAAAACTGGACAGCCACTTGTCTGAGATGGTATAGGCCAGGGTTTCCTGCCTGAGCAGGGGGTTGGACTAGATGACCTCCGAGGTCCCTTCCATCCTTATTAGCTTAGGAACTCAGGGTGTGCAAATGTGGAACCTGGATGATTTTTAAGGGGCAAAGGAAGGGTGAACACAGCCAGAGAATCCTGGTTTGTTTGCCCTAGTCCTTCTTTGCATTAAACTAGACCAGGGGTAGGCAACCTTGGCTCTTTTATGACTCGTGGACTTCAACTCCCAGAATTCCTGAGCCAGCATGGCTGGCTCAGGAATTCTGGGAATTGAAGTCCACGAGTCATAAAAGAGCCAAGATTGCCTACCTCTGAGTAGACATACCCAGTTCCCGCAACCGTTCTTCATATGTTTTAGCCTTCAGTTCCGCTAATCATCTTCGTGGCTCTTCTCTGCACCCTTTCCAGAGTCTCAACCTCTTTTTTATATTGGGGTGACTCGCACCCCGGTGTTTGGTCTCCGTGAACGATGCACCCTTCTCTTTGTGTGCAGAGCAACTCCTGGATCCGAGACCACGATGAGACGGGATCGACCCCCTCAGGGACGCCGGGACCCTCCAGCGGTGGGATTGCCTCCCAAAGTGGAGACAACTGCAGCGAGCAAGGTACTCGGAGGTTGCAAGGGAGGCGGTGGAGGTCCTACATGTTCACTAGGGGAGGAACCGGAGGGTGCAAGCTGCACATAGGAGGAGGCGACATTTTACACAATGTTCAAAAGGCGGTCAGGATTGGAAAACCTCACAATTTATTGATTTGGTTTTTTTTTATCTCCCCTTTGCTATGATTTCTAACAAGCCGGCGGACCTACTTAATCAGCTCTCCTCCTCCTACTTTCCCCACAACGACAACCTTGTGTTGTGGGGTGGGCTGAGAGAGAAGGATTGGCCAAAAGTCACTCAGTTTTTCATGGCTAGGGCGGAACTAGAACTCACTGTCTCCTGGTGATGGCTAGAAGGTAGTGGCTTTGCTCTCTGTAAACCCTATAAACGTAGCACTGACGATGATACCTAGTTGGGTCATAAAACGTCTGCAGGAAAACCACCAAGCTCAGAGAACACCAATAGTCGTCTTCCTCCTCCTCCTCCTCCTCCTCCTCCATCTACTCCTCCTCCTCCATCCCCACTCCCAGCACTGACGATGATACCTAGTTGGGTCATAAAACGTCTGCAGGAAAACCACCAAGCTCAGAGAACATCAATAGTCTTCCTCCTCCTCCTCCTCCTCCTCCTCCATCCCCACTCCCAGCACTGCCGATGATACCTAGTTGGGTCATAAAATGTCTGCAGGAAAACCACCAAGCTCAGAGAACACCAATAGTTCTTCTTCTCCTCCTCCTCCTCCTCCTCCCTTCTAGCACTGATGATGTTACCTAGCTGGGTCATGAAACGTCTACAAAGAAAACCACCAAACACTAAGGACCCCTCATGTCAACCCTGAGCTACAAAGATCCTCCTTTGACAGTTTCCCTCCCCCCTCCCCCCGTGTGTCTTGCCTTTGTTATGAATATACAAAGATTTGGATCGCCCCGTCTATCAAAAGCAGCAGGATGCTGGCATTTCAAGCTGCCTCTGGACGATGCAACTTGTTGCCTCTGAACAGGGTTTTAGGGAGATTCTCCATCATCCAGGTCACCCTTCTCCCCAAAGACGCTTTTTCACAAGGCGACAGGACTTCCTTGTTCTGTTTCTCCAGTTGCCTGGTGGAAAAGCACCTTGGTGGCATCTGAGCAGGGGCCTGGCAGCCAGCGGCCGGCCGTCAGCTGTTTGCAAAATCCTGGCTTCTTAAGAGAGGAACAATGCAGCTCCCAAACCCTCCCTGTATGAAAGGGTCCTATTGTGCCCGTCCCCATCCCCATGAAAGGGGGTTTCTCCTCCTGAAGTGCAGCTGCCACAGTGGGGAGGGGGGAGAGGGAGAGAGAGAGGGGGGGAGACCCCCAAATTTAGAAGAATTGGAGCCTATCGGCACAGGCTCCACCATAATACAGGTAGTCCTTGACTGACGACTACAATTAAGCCCAACGTTTTTATTGTTAAGTGAGATAGTTCAATTTCTGGGAGTTGAGGTCCACATCTCTTTTTTTTTTTTTTAAATTGAAAATTTTATAAAATTTTACAATCTAAATCCCCCCCTTCCCCTTCCCACCCTTCCACCCCCCCTCCCTCCCCCCTCACTTCCCAGTGCCAATCACAGGGTTAACAATAACATAATCATACTCTAATTAACATTAATCAACTATTAAGATAACATATCTATAACCTCCTTTAACTCTCTTAAACAGTACAATGATTAAAAACAATAATAATAACAACGCTTTAATAATTAAAAATAATACTAAATAAAATATTCTAGCCTTTGTACAACGATAAGACTCTAAAATTTACTCAAAAACCAAATGATATTTTTTTAGTCCCATATTTACGCTCAATATAATCTATCCACCTTCTCCAAACCAAAATATATCTTTCTTGCGAGTGATCCTTCACATAAGCGGAAATCTTGCCCATTTCTGCTAAATTCGAGACTTTAAGTGACCATTCTTCTATAGTAGGTAAACGTTCCGTTTCCCAATATTGAGCTAC